GTGCAGCGCGTGCGTTGCAAAACACACGGCGCTGTCTGGACGCCGTTGCGCGCCAATCACGTGTCCACCCGCTCCTGCACGGGAGACATCCTGCACGGTTGCATTCTTGACGGCAACTACTGGCCCCGTGCTTTTCGCTTGTGGCAGGACACTGAAGACATGCTTGTCCTGGAGCGAGATCTCCGAGATGCTACTGCTGACAGGCTCTGCGTTTCTCTGGCCAGGCATTCTCTCCGTCCCAGCTTGAGCGCCGTGGCGCAAGCAACGCTTGTGCAAGCCTTAACGCAGTTCCTCCTTGAAACCCCTACGCGGCAGTTGCTCAAGGAAATACTTTGCGACTACATGACTTCTGCTGTGGCGCCCCGTGTTCATGCTCTGGCGCAGCCTCTAGTCGCTACCCAGGGAGCCTTACTCAACATGGACTTCAGCGCTTGCGATGCCCGACAGCTGCGACCCCGGCGCCGACGACGAGCCTTGGGCGAGACGCGCCCGCGACAAACTTTTGGGGGGGTTACTGGCTTGGACGATTGCTTGCTCCTGCCACCACTTCTCACCAGTGGAGAAGACGGAACTACCAAGCATCGCCTACTGCAAGAATGCATGCAGCGCCTTGGTTTTTTTGATCCGTCGGGTTTCTGCGCACACGTCTCTCACTTCCTTTCTAGAAGTTCTCGTTCTCAACCTTTCTTTCCCTGGTAGCACTAGCAAGGCCAACCCCCTTCCACTTTGTTTTTTTGAAAACTCCCCCCCGACAAGTCTGATGACAAATGCACGGTTCCAGAGGCAGCACCCTCAACACGGAAACCCGTCCAGGATGCTGGCAGCCGCAGGCAAGCGCCCCGTCGGCGTCAATGTAGATGACATCGAGAAAAGTTTCAACACCGTGGCCCATTGTCTGGAGACATGTTTCCCTGGATGCGTGAGGCACATTGATGCGGACTGCGCTGAGCAAGACCTGCCAGCGTGGGCGTGCACACACATCCGCGCTGGCGGAATTGTCATAAACCTCAAAGCTCGCGCCGCTTGGGGAATAGAAATTGGAGAGGACCCCCTCCACGTCTACAAGCGGCTTCTGGAATCTCTTGACTTCCGCAGTCGTGAAGCTGCTTTTGCAGCCAGATGCTTGCAGGCTCTCCTGTCATCCACTAACCCAGCCAACCGTCATTGCGCCGACAGGCGCGACGAGAACGTCGGAGCCACGCGTGCCAGGCCGCGTAGTGACTTGTGGGTTCACTTCGACGCTTGGGAGTCGCGGAGGCCGCCGGCAGTGGCAGACATTCTGCGCTCCTACTTCCAAGGATTTTCCTTCCCTCACAATGCTGCCACAGTCCTTGCGCAGGGCATGGACCAAGACTGGGCCCATCCCACCTCTGGGAAGTTGCGCGGCGCCTGTCCATGTCTTTGGTGGAGGGGTTTGGGGTTTAGGCTCCATGCAGGGACACACGTCCACACACACACACAGACACGCATACACCCACAGTTCGCTTCTCCTATTGATTGTGTTACTATATTCCTGTGTGTTAACACTTTCCTACATTGTCCAGTCACGCCAAGGTTGCTGCCGCGTTGTGCCAAAGCGGTCGTGTACCGAGATGTGGCCTTAGCGGGCCGCTGCAGTAAGCGCGACGTGCGGCTCCTACTTGCGCAGCACCTGTATCCCGATGCCTTGAGCACCCACGAGTTCCAGAAGGAGCTGTCTCTCTTGTCCGACCTCCTCAGCCAAGTACTTTTCCAGGAAGCGCGAGCGTCCGGTAGCGGCCTTTGGTACAAGCAGCAGCTGGCTTACCTCAAACATGTGCGCCAGCGTCCCATCTTCAGTCGGGACGGCGCCGTTCAGCAGGCGTCGGTCAAGCCCGGATCTCTGGCCGCGCCCGCTGGAGGCAGCTCATTCCAGCACGCTTGTCGACTGCAGTCCCGCACATTCATTGCGCGTGGAGTGGTGGCTGCGTACCGCAGCAAGCTGTGGGCAATCCAGGCGGGTCGTCGGGTATCCCTCGGGACGGTGGGGACCGAGCGTGCGTGGCGCAACCTGCAACGCTCCAGTCGCAACAAGACACGCACTGTGTCGGATGCCCGGACCCGTCAGCTGCTCTCGCTGACTCGGTGGCTGCGCGAGGCTCAGGGTCGGCTCATGGCAAAATCCCAGGTGTCGCATCTAGGCAACGATGCCAGAGGAAACATGCAGTTGCTTCTGCACACTGAAAGGTTCGCTGCCAGTATGATCCACGGAAGTGCAACAGATGCCCACCTGCATAGCATTAGTTCAACCAATCCCGCCTAACGCGAGTGATGCTGCGCGGTGACCAAAACATGCACCTGCTCCGGTTGCTCTTCCTCGCTGCCGCAGTACTGCAGACGCAGCTCAGGGTTGAATCAAGGCACGCCCGGCCCTCTATCCCACAACAGCACTTCTCGGAGAAGTGCAACTGAAACTGTCGGGCCCATGGCTGCTGTGCAAACAGTGACCGCTCTGCCTCAAAACGAGAAACACACTGGAAGTAAGCACAGCCGCTTCAAAACCTCAGCGCTCAGGGTTCAAACCAGACTCGAGAAGAGTTTCCAAGCACACACCGAAGCAGTCGTATGGCATGCGACTGGTTTCTCCTCAAGCGTAGCCTCCTTGCATAGTCGTATCCCCACAGCTTTCACCATCGCAGGCGGACATCGTGGCCTCCTTTTGGCGGACATCGTGGCCTCCTTTCTCTTTCTGAAGGACTTGGGGGGAAGCCGGGCGGTTGGCTCAGGGTCCAGTCATTGCGAGGGAAGAGTTTCCAAGCGCACCCAGGAAGCAGTCGTATGGCATACGAGTGGTTTCTCATCAAGCGTAGCCCCCCTGCATAGTCGTATCCCCAGTCGTGTGGCATGCGACTGGTTTCTCCTCAAGCGTAGCCTCCTTGCATAGTCGTATCCCCACAGCTTTCACCATCGCAGGCGGACATCGTGGCCCCCTTTTGGCGGACATCGTGGCCTCCTTTCTCTTTCTGAAGGACTTGGGGGGAAGCCGGGCGGTTGGCTCAGGGTCCAGTCATGGCGAGGGAAGAGTTTCCCAGCGCACCCAGGAAGCAGTCGTATGGCATACGAGTGGTTTCTCATCAAGCGTAGCCCCCCTGCATAGTCGTATCCCCAGTCGTGTGGCATGCGACTGGTTTCTCCTCAAGCGTAGCCTCCTTGCATAGTCGTATCCCCACAGCTTTCACCATCGCAGGCGGACATTGTGGCCTCCTTTTGGCGGACATCGTGGCCTCCTTTCTCTTTCTAAAGGACTTGGGGGGAAGCCGGGCGGTTGGCTCAGGGTCCAGTCATTGCGAGGGCAGAGTTTCCAAGCGCCCCCAGGAAGCAGTCGTATGGCATGCGAGCTCAAGCGTAGCCTCCTGGCATAGTCGTATCCCCACAGCTTTCACCGTCGCAGGCGGACATCGTGGCCTCCTTTTGGCGGACATCGTGGCCTCCTTTCTCTTTCTCAAGGACTTGGGGGGAAGCCGGGCGGTTGGCTCAGGGTCCAGTCATGGCGAGGGAAGAGTTTCCCAGCGCACCCAGGAAGCAGTCGTATGGCATACGAGTGGTTTCTCATCAAGCGTAGCCCCCCTGCATAGTCGTATCCCCAGTCGTGTGGCATGCGACTGGTTTCTCCTCAAGCGTAGCCTCCTTGCATAGTCGTATCCCCACAGCTTTCACCATCGCAGGCGGACATTGTGGCCTCCTTTTGGCGGACATCGTGGCCTCCTTTCTCTTTCTAAAGGACTTGGGGGGAAGCCGGGCGGTTGGCTCAGGGTCCAGTCATTGCGAGGGCAGAGTTTCCAAGCGCCCCCAGGAAGCAGTCGTATGGCATGCGAGCTCAAGCGTAGCCTCCTGGCATAGTCGTATCCCCACAGCTTTCACCGTCGCAGGCGGACATCGTGGCCTCCTTTTGGCGGACATCGTGGCCTCCTTTCTCTTTCTAAAGGACTTGGGGGGAAGCCGGGCGGTTGGCTCAGGGTCCAGTCATGGCGAGGGAAGAGTTTCCCAGCGCACCCAGGAAGCAGTCGTATGGCATACGAGTGGTTTCTCATCAAGCGTAGCCCCCCTGCATAGTCGTATCCCCAGTCGTGTGGCATGCGACTGGTTTCTCCTCAAGCGTAGCCTCCTTGCATAGTCGTATCCCCACAGCTTTCACCATCGCAGGCGGACATTGTGGCCTCCTTTTGGCGGACATCGTGGCCTCCTTTCTCTTTCTAAAGGACTTGGGGGGAAGCCGGGCGGTTGGCTCAGGGTCCAGTCATTGCGAGGGCAGAGTTTCCAAGCGCCCCCAGGAAGCAGTCGTATGGCATGCGAGCTCAAGCGTAGCCTCCTGGCATAGTCGTATCCCCACAGCTTTCACCGTCGCAGGCGGACATCGTGGCCTCCTTTTGGCGGACATCCTGGCCTCCTTTCTCTTTCTCAAGGACTTGGGGGGAAGCCGGGCGGTTGGCTCAGGGTCCAGTCATTGCGAGGGCAGAGTTTCCCAGCGCACCCAGGAAGCAGTCGTATGACATACGAGTGGTTTCTCATCAAGCGTAGCCACCCTGCATAGTCGTATCCCTAGTCGTGTGGCATCCGACTGGTTTCTCCTCAAGCGTAGCCCCCTTGCATAGTCGTATCCCCACAGTCGCAGGCGGACATCGTGGCCTCCTGTTGGCGGACATCGTGGCCTCCTTTCTCTTTCTGAAGGACTTGGGGGAACCGGGCGGTTTAGCTTGAGGTTAGCTCAAGCCTCTGCTGCCAAGAGTTTTGGGGTTCTGCCATCAATCATTGACAGCTCGTGAAGGGTCCACTTGCACGTGTCTCCTGTGTCACCTCTGTGGCTTGCTGCCGTTGCACGTGTCTTCCCGGAGATGCCGGAACTCGAAAGCTGTCATCCTCAGTCCAAAGCAGTGGCAGACATTTTCAGGGTTTTCCAGTTCTCCAGACATGCGTGCCTCACAACCAAATGACTCATAAAGCGGTAACGCAGACTTTTTACACTTCTTCTGCTACCTGTCCCCATGGATGAGATGAGTTCCTGCCACGCGGCAGCCTCTCATGACCAAGATCCTACCGAACCAACGGCGGCACAACCAAGCTCCGGCGAGGCCCCTGCAGACACAAGACCCGAGGAGGATCAGCTGCTTGCAGACGCCCGGGCAAGCGCCAAGGATGCTAAGGATGAGCAGTTGGCAGTAGACGATGTCTCCTCCAGCCAGAAAACTCCCAAACCTTTGAGCTTCGTTCTGGACGCCCTTGAGGAAGAGTCCAAGGATCAGTACAACCAGATGGTGGCCCGGATCTGCCAGAGCCAGGACCCGGGTAAGGAAGCAGTGGACCGACTCAGGGCAGCAGCTGTGGCTGCTTGGCAAGCAGCCTGCGTGAAGCAGATGCAGCCAGATATGGATGCGGCCGACACCATGGCCCTGCAACGCATCCTTGCGCAGGGCCCCGTGGCGGAGCCGTTGCTCGAAGCTTTCCATGACCAGTGGAGCCGAAAAGTTTACGACGAGGACGCCGTCGGCCGCTCCCTCGATCTTAGACACAAGCCGCAGTCGATGACGCTCAAGGAGTACATGAAGAGCGTTTCCCAGGAGTTCTATAGCGACTTGCTCGATGACAGGGCCTCCATCGACCCGCTTCAGATGCAGCGAGAGACTCCGCTGACACAGGTCGCTGCTGTCGAAGTGGCGCACGCCTTGGCCCGGCTGAGCGCAGGCCACGGACTTCCCCCAGACGGCCATGTGGTCCATGCCCAGTTCCAAGGCTTGTCCAAGTACCTCTGGAATGGTCCCCTGCAGCATGCCAAGCTGACCAAGGCGATTCCTCAGAGCGAAAGTGAGTGGGACATTGCCAACGCAAAGTTGGCGCAGCTGATCATAGGCGAGAGTGCTTCTGGCAAGGACAATGCCAAGAGTCTTCTGGCAACCTGGATGAAAGACTTGCGGGGACAGGCTCCTGTCATGTCCAGGGAGGCTTTACTGGAGCAAGGAAATATAACTATTTCCGGCATTTTCAACCGATTGAAGGCCGCAGACAGCAACCTTCAAGTCGTCAATCCGGAATTAGAAAAAGTGCTACAGGGCCGCAAGCGCGACGTCTACTTGCAGGATTCACAAATGATAGAGCTCTTAGACGGCACGGCTACAGGGAAGGCCAATGGGAATGAAGACACAGTGCTCACTGCAAACGCTTGGGCATCTCTCGGAAGCCAGCTCAAGGTTTACGTGTCACAACTCGCAGGGGATGCCTGCGCCCGGTTCCGCTTCTCGCCCTCCTTCATAGATGATCACGCAGTGGCGGACACAGCGTTCGAAGAGAAATTGCTGCCCAGGCGGTGCTCTCAGGCGCTAGCAGTGAGTGTGCTGAAGGCGATCCTGGCAGCTCAGCACCGCGTTGCTCCCCCGGAACAGAGCAGCAAGGGCAGTGCCGAGGAAGATCCGATCCGCCTGCGACAGCCTAAGCGCAAACGAGACTTCCTTGTCGAAAGCTTCTTTTTAAGTCTGTATATCTAGTACGCCCCAAGGCCTCCTGCCTTTCTTTCTTTCCGGACCTATGCCAAGCAAGGACAGAAGAACGATGGGCAAGAAGAACCAGCAGCCGGCAAAGAAGACAAACAGCCTGCTGTCAACATGCTCAGCCCAGAGGCCGTTCCACATCAGCTGCTGCCCTCCATCAAGCCTAAGGAACCCCTTCATACTCACTCACGCCTGCCTTTCAGGTCCCAACGACATCCTGGTCGCCAGGCGCTATCATGATCCTGGCTGGATACACCGATGGCGGCGCCCAGGCCACCAACAAGTGCGCGGGCAGTGCCTTGCCTCTCACGCATGCCTTGCATTAAACCTGTGTGGTCAGCTGCGACACATGAACCGTGCTCCTGGGTATGTGCCTGCTCTTGTACACGTGCCTTTTCCTTAGCCCAGGTCCCTTCATCTCGGCTGTGAAGAAAACGTACTCTAAGATCGGAGCGTTGGCTGATGGTAACTTGGCAGTACGCAATGGGCTTCTGCGTGTCGCGGTGCCGGGAGCGCCCTTGGACACCACAGTACGCCTGCTCGATGCCCTGGCAGCGGGGGCAAAATGTGATGTTTTTGCCGCCAACCAGGCCAGACAATGCACTGCGTGCCTCTGTGTCTGATTCTCTGCCTTCAAGTCTCCACTTCTGCGCAGGTGTTCCTCGAGCGCAAGCTCCTGGCTATCAACAAGAAGAGTGGCGCGGACGAAGGACCCTCCGGTCTCAATGCGGAGCTTCGCGAAGCGCCGCCTAACCTGGGCGGAGTCGAGCTTGCGTGCCGCCGGCTCCTGACAAAGTTGGCTGACGATGAACCTCGCTGGGCGGATGCGGTTCAGTCTGGCATTCCCTTTGCCATCAAGAACGGCAGCCCTTGGTATAACTTCAGGCAGCTTCACTTTTCGCGTAAGAAGAAGGACAATGTCACGTACCTCCAGTATGGAGGCTTGGAGAATCTCTACACACATGGAAAAGCTGGTGGCTGGCGAGCAATGTTGGAGCGACTTGAGGCAGGCAAGATGGCAACGCGCAGCGCGGGAGACAAAGGCGTCAAAATGAGACTTTCTCGGACATTGGAGGGCGAGGAGTTCATGAGGAAGCTGCACCTGTCGGCTGAGGTCCACCAAGCTTACAAGCAGCTTCCGGACGATGACGCGCGGCAGCAACAGCTGTACCCCCCCAACCCTCCTAGCCAACATTAACTACAAGCCCCCAGGCCCAGACAGAATGCCCTGACCTTGCCCGAGGACCTGTGACAAGAGGGTCCCCAGCATGCAGAGCTCAGGCGCCCGTGCCTTCTCTTGTCTCAGCATACAGCAGAGGGAAAAGGGCAGTGTCGCAGGAGCACCAAGCTTGGAGGATCGGTGGTAGTTTTTGGTCCCGGGCTTAGGACATAGGACCCTGGACGCAATCCGAACCAGAAACCAGTATGTGCCATACGACTCCGCTTCCACATGCCTGATGTAACCCCAAATGACACCCTATAGTGACTGCCAAAACCCTAGGGAAACCACAAATGTACCCCTGCCAACAAGGAGGTAGGTCTTGGAACCGGCACCCCATCCAGACCAAAAGCCAGTCGTATGCCATACGACTGCTTCAACCTGCTTGATGTAGACCCTAATCTCACCCTATACCAACCAGGGCACGCAGGTCTTGGGAATAGCCTGCGCATGCGCCGCAGGCAAACCTGCAGCCATCCACAGCTGCTACGTATGACGGATATGTGTTTCAGCGTGCTGAGACGTGGGGAATCGTTCCAGTACGCTGGGAGGACAACGAAGTCGATGCTGGCAAAACAAAAGCGACTTCTGCGCAGAGTTAACAATCTCAGACTTTACTTCGTATCTGAATCACGTGCGGCCATCTTCTAAACAAAACTTTCCCGAGAACCCCGGTCGGATCCAGCCAGGACGGACTGTGCAGCTGGATCGCCGCGTCGACCCTGCGAAGTTTCTTGCCGCTGGAGGATAGGGAACGGTTTGGCTGTTTAGAGTTTAGGGCTTAAGGTCAAGGATTTAGGTTTTCGGTTTAGGGATTAGGGTTTAGGGTCTAGGGTTTAGAGTTTAGAATGTATCCGTATACTTATTTATACATATCTGTACGTTTGTGGCTGTCAGCGGGGTCCCTCCGCCCTATGGCTCCGTATACAAGGGAGTTTCAATGACCCTCAGCCCTAAACCCTAGCAATGCATACGTCGCCTATGGTAGGGAGGGCTGGAGCGTATTAATTCCCGAGAGCCGCATTCAAACCCAAAGCCCGGACTCTAAACCCAATAAGCAAGGGGGTTAGGCGGGCTAGGGTTTAGGATTTGGGCGGAGTACTTCGGGGTCAGCCATGCACGTCCTGGTTTGGGGTTTAGGCCTTATTTTGCAGTGTTTGTTATAATCCTCATGAGGAAGATCACATCCGGGGACACTTTCAGAGTTTCAAGGGCCAGCTGGGATGCGCCTCGTCCAGCGCCTTCAGTGTAACCTGTCATCTTTTCTTCTTTATCAAGACGTCTAGAATTTAGGGTAGATGGTTTCGGGCTCATTTGCTCAACCCTTGAAGCCTCAAAAACGGGAGAAACACGGGGCACATTTGATTCCGGTGTTGCGTGACAACGCATCTGAACCTGGGAGGAAAGCACTGCCGTCCAGATTGCAACTACTGCCGAGCCGGCCACCGCAAAAGAAGGCCCTCAAGGGTCCACGGTTCAGGGTTTAGGGTTGAGGGTTTAGCTTAGGGTTTTCAGTTTAGGTTCTGAACCGGGTTGTCGAACCAGGGGTGTTGTAACAATCTGCTCGGTCAAAAAGTGTATGTATGTAAAAAAAAAGAAGCTCCGCTCTTGCTCGTTTATGTCTTCGCCGTATATATGAAGGTGCTGGCGTAGCGCAAGTGCAGCGCTAGGTCTTCCTTTCCTTAGCTGACGCGGTATGACCTCAGGATGCTGATGCTTGCTTGCGGAACATGAGCTCCAGTAGTTCTGAAGACGACACCTCAGTCTTCAAATCAAGACGCTCATGTGTTTTGCGATGTTTTCGTGCAGGGAACAAAATTAGTACTATACTTCTGTACGTGCCAAAGCCGTCCTCGTTCCACACATTCCTTATCCTTTTCCTCCGCCGTTCCGGCAAGAAGGACTCTTAACGGTGTGTGTGTGTGTGTGTGCAGACAGACACGGTTCTGCTTTCTTTCACGCCGTGCCCTTCCTTTCGCAAGATCTTGGAGTACTGACTGAGGCATTGCTGTCCATGTGTCCCAGCCATGTCGGCCGACATCCGGGACCTGCTTTCTGCGCGTATCCGCGCAACGGCGCCAGAGGATACGGTGCTGGGACTTCGAGCCCTCCTAGCCGGAGGCAGCCCGGACAAGCCCCAGAGCTTCTTGTTGGCTCTCTTGGTCCTGTACACTTCCATACAGTTCCCGGCAAACATGTCCCTGCCAGTGGCGCTGCTCACGGTCTGGATGACATTTCGGAATGACCCTGCACCCTCGCAGCCGCCCGCTTGGATGCACCACCTGCATAATCGCCGGCATCCATGTTACAACGATGAGTGGAGCCTCAAAACGATGCTCGCAGCAGTCAGATGCCACGCACCTACAAAGCATACGGGGGATGCCTTTGCACGTGACTTCTGCAGGTTCATAGAGAATGCCCCCAAGTCCACGCAAAATGACAAGCGTCAGCTCTTTGTCTGCGCGGCTCTCATCCTCATCCCAAGGTCAGAGCGTATGCTGCAATACTTTTGCGAAAGAGGAACCGCTTTGTCCCTGGATACAGTCGGCGGGCTGTACTCCTATTTCGTAGGAAAGCATGGCTCTGTCTATCCAGGTCTCCAGCACCAGCGTCAAGCGCATACATCTGAGCAGAAACTAACAACCCTGGGGGCGCTGATTGATGCTGTTTTGGTTCCGTTTCTACTAGACACCTGCTGCTACGATGCGATGCTCGACCTGGGTTCTACCATGTTTATTGTTGACAGCAGCAATTGCGCCCTCTTACGTGGCCCTTTTGTGTCCCTACATTTCAATCAATACTGCCACCTGGCTGGCATCATGTTGCCGCCAGTGGAGACGGCAAAAAGTAACGGCAAAAGCTCAGACTTTTTCCTGAGCATCACTGGCCTGCCAACATGGACTGCTGTTGCGCAGCAGGTGCAGCCGCACTTGCGTTTCCGCGTGGATTGGTGGGACGTCTCGGCGTCTGCTTGCATGACCCTGCGCTTGCTCCGCTGTCTCATGTCGGGCTCCACGCTTGGCAAGCACAGGACCGAGCCCATCACAGCCAAGAAGAGCAAATGGTCCATCTTGATTGCGAAACGGCTTCAAAACCTGCCTGACTTGGATGTGGACTTCTGCCACAGTGCTGTGCTGTATGCAGGATGTCGCTACGCCACTGCGCGCACCTTCCTCGTCGCTGTGGGACATACGCATGGATCCTCGCCCTTGCGACAAATACTTACGGACAACAACAACTACAAGCAGGGGGAGGTTTTGGCAGTCAAGTGCAGCCAGCATCGGATAGGTCATTTTGTGGCAGAGCTTGCAGGAGAAGACGCTGTCCTTGACCACAGATGCAAAAGGCTTCGTCTCACCACTACATCGCAAGACAGCAGCACGACGTATCTGTATCGTGTCAGCGCCATGGCTCGCCTTGCAGCAAAGATTCCTGGGAACCGTGCCTGTCATTCCTCTCGGCGCCTTACCTACTGACTACCCACTACCCAGGTTTCCGGATGTTCTACAATTCAAGCCGGGCCCCAGCATTGAGCGCTCACAATGGACAAGTCGCTGTTGTTGCTAACCCCCTCTAGTGGCTCGAGGCCAGCGTGTAAGCAGGCGATCTGCCTGCTCACGCGCACATCCCGCGGCCTTGCGCAGCCCACGCGCAGCCCACCAGAGCCAAACTCACTCCTCATGACACCTATGCTTGCAGCAGCGGTTCCAAGGGCAGGGATGTGTTTCTTATGACTTCTTCCAGTTTCTCTAGATGGGAATGGTCAGCTTCTGAAAGA